TGTAAATTGCAAAAATTATCAACAGCATAAAAAAACGCTAGTATGTTCAATTAAAGGTCCTCATTAGCAGACTGACACTTTTTCACCAGGTGAGCCTCTTGATACTCTTTTTATCTATTTTGATAACCACAAGAAACAACATAAAGAAATGCGTCATTACCGTAAGCACGGTGAAACAATTCATCTCAAAGTACCAATAATATATGTATTTAAAAATGAAAATTGGCTATCAAATGACAAATGTGGCGTTTCTATATGTTCTTTGGAAATCCGTTTGACTTGAGTTGACAATGATGTTGACAATTTTTATTTGACCAGCTTTTTCATAACCTATAACTGTACGTTTGAAAAGATAAACAACGTTATGTGTAAGTTTTGAATGACAACTCAAGCTCTGGTTACCGCTCCACTGATGTGAATCTGACCACCGATCACCCGAGTTTTACCATCGCATGAATAAATGTATTGCTATGATATAAAATTAAATTTAACCTTGACCACCGATCACCCGAGTTTTACCATCGCATGAATAAATGTATTGCTATGATATGAAATTAAATTTAACCTTGAACAGGTTTGTCATAACAAAATGAAAAAAGAATAAAGAGAAATAAGCATGTGTAACTATTTCAAGTAATAAAATACATTTAAATTTTCACAGTTTAGTATAAATTCATAAAATGACTAAACAAGGTTATACCCGTAAGGGTGGAAACTTAATATAATGTTTTGTAGGTTCAGATTTTTTTTTCAGGTTCTGAGAATCACTTGAGCAACAAAAAAAATCAACATATTATATGGTATCTTAAATGCTACGTCTGATGAACTGCCTTAGATTTTTTATTTTCACCAATATAACTAATAATACATTTCTCAACCTTCCGAGATCCCCATGTATTACAAAGTATATTATACAATCTGCTACATGTATGTCAGCTGTTTCGGTCAATATCTACAAAATGGGCATGTTTTTCTTTAATAAGTGTTGTGATATTATGAAACATAACAAATACCGATAAATTTACAACTATGGATATTAAAAGTATGGATAAAAAAGATATGAATGAAGAAAGTGGTGACGATGATGATCAAATGGATATGTTGTCAAAACACATAATGTGTGGCAAATGTCGACCATGTCGTCGATCTTGTCCGTCAGGTTGTTATGTCCCGAAACGTTTTATTGTGACAATGTTGACGGGTATCGGTATGATGCTTGTTTATGCCATGAGGACTAATTTAGCAGTAACAGTCATTCTTATTTTGGATTTCGCTCCTCATACAAAAGTTGGGACGACTCAGGCAATGGAGGCAGTTTGGCATGTAAGTACGGCACCCTCCAATATCACCCTCAAAAAGGCATTGTCTGCCGAGCAGTTTGGCATGTAAGTACGGCATCCTCGAATATCGCCCTCAAAAAGGCATTGTCTGTCATATAGATGAGATTTAACAGGGATAATTTATTTACCTGCACGATTTCCCTACATAATAAATACATAACCTGTTATTGAACTGTTGAACAATTGTTATAAGGTTATGGCAGCTTTGTTCGATTTGCATCATAAATCTGGGACTATTATACTATAGTCCCAGCACAAATTTAATAGACATGAACACATCAAAATAGCATGATCATTTATACATACATGCGAGACAAGACATTGGGGAAAAATTCAATTTTTAGTCAGTTTTTTGAAAGACCTGCAAATTAGCCTTCATTGTTTTTCTTGATAATCCCTGGATGCTAGGCAATTCCGGTTCCAACTACTAGTAGTCAAACATACTTGGATAAATCTAAATACGAAAAAGTCGACAAATTCAACAAAAAAACAATGTCAGTGACGATGTCATTAAACTCAAGTTTCTTCATAATATAAGTTTCAAACGAAAGAAATATTCTGTAATATTAGTTCCTCTGGAAAAGATATTACACCGGTTAGGGATTATGCTATCTCCCAATGATGGGTTAAAATATGACGTTTTTTGATATAATATCCCAAATAAGATATAATTTTACTGAATTTTACTGTGCAAAAAATATTATTTTGGGATTCAAGGGAAAATATTGCAAAGTGCAAATTAACATATAAAAGGCAACTTTTGGTAGTAACTTTTCTGAATACTGGATTTGTTTATGAGTTTGATCCCTTGGAAAATGCTGATTTTCAGAGTGATCAATCTAGCAATTTATTCATTTTCTGGAAAAGTTGCTACTACTGACATAAACAAATGCACTTTTCAATATTTTTGCTTATTTCAAAAATTAAGATTTTTTACACCGAAAATGTATATTCCATTTAGGCTATAATAACAATAACCCGGAGATAATCTCCAACCTGTTACAGTATATGTTCCTAACGGAATAAAGGGTATATAGAATATTTGTTCCAACAGGAACGTATATTATGGCATTGTTTATAACATAGTTACAAACAGAACTTCTGTTAGGCGGAACAATTATACGTTGACACTGGTACTGATTAAAATTTATTTCTAAAAAAACAATCGTACATTTTAAAGAAAGTGTTTGTTAAACTGTTTTTAGAAATATGCCTGGAAATACATGATGTTTTTTTTTCATTGTTTATCGAGATAATTGCTTTAGAAGCTTGTGAAACTGAAATATAAAAAAATTATAATCTTTGGTCCATAATTTGATAGAATAAATTGCAAACATCATATACATACATACAAAATGTACAGGTCTTTCAAGGCACTATTTTTTTAGTGTTCCACATAGCCCTTAGCATGTTACAATTTCCCATAATTTAACTATTTTCCAAAATATTGTCTTTTCGTTGATATAACTGTTTAAAGAGTTGTGCATGTGCAGGTTAAAAAACAAAGATAAAATATTTTTTTTAAATTAGGTTATCCGTCGAAATAGTTTTACAATTTTAAGAATAGGGTGTCTCGATTTTTGTACCTGTATTTGCGGTCTTCTCGATTTTTGTACATGCATTTGCGGTCTTCTCGGTGTATTCTCATTCAATGTTTACATTGGGATAAGGTACGTTTGAATTTGCAAGTACATATAAAAAGAAAACACCCTGCCAAGTTTATTTTACATATTCTTTAAGACAAAGGTCTTGCTGTTCTTTTTGTTTTACACATGAATGGGATTAAATTGCATTCAAGATTTTCGAACACATTAATTCATTAAGTATTCCATCGGATTCTTATCATTTTACAGCAGCAAATTTCTTATACATAATTTCGGTCGTATATGTTATTTGTCTCCTACAAATGTTGCTGTGTGTTTTACTTTATATCTTGTTAGTCGCTCCTACAAATGGTGTCGTGTGTTTTACTTTAATGTACTGCCTTAGTCGCTCCTACAAATGTTGTTGTGTGTTTTACTTTTATGTATTGCCTTAGTCGCTCCTACAAATGTTGGCGTGTTTTACTTTTATGTATTGCTAAGTCGCTCCTACAAATGTTGTGTGTTTTACATTTATGTATTGCCTTAGTCGCTCCTACAAATGTTGTCGTGTGTTTTACTTTTATGTATTGCTTAGTCGCTCCTACAAATTTTGTCGTGTGTTTTACTTTTATGTATTGCTTAGTTGCTCCTACAAATGGTGTTGTGTGTTTTACTTTAATGTATTGCCTTAGTCGCTCCTACAGATGGTGTCGTGTGTTTTACTTTAATGTATTGCCTTAGTCGTTCCTACAAATGTTGTCGTGTGTTTTACTTTTATGTATTGCCTTAGTCGCTCCTACAAATGTTGTTGTGTGTTTTACTTTTATGTATTGCCTTAGTCGCTCCTACAAATGTTGGCGTGTTTTACTTTTATGTATTGCTTAGTCGCTCCTACAAATGTTGTGTGTTTTACATTTATGTATTGCCTTAGTCGCTCCTACAAATTTTGTCGTGTGTTTTACTTTTATGTATTGCTTAGTCGCTCCTACAAATTTTGTCGTGTGTTTTACTTTATGTATTGCTTAGTTGCTCCTACAAATGGTGTTGTGTGTTTTACTTTAATGTATTGCCTTAGTCGCTCCTACAAATGGTGTCGTGTGTTTTACTTTAATGTATTGCCTTAGTCGTTCCTACAATGTTGTCGTGTGTTTTACTTTTATGTATTGCCTTAGTCGCTCCTACAAATGTTGGTGTGTATTTTACTTTTATGTACTGTCTTAGTCGCTCCTACAAATGTTGGCGTGTGTTTTACTTTTATGTATTGCCTTAGTCGCTCCTACAAATGTTGGCGTGTGTTTTACTTTTATGTATTGCCTTAGTCGCTCCTACAAATGTTGTTCAGTGTGTGTTTTACTTTAATGTATTGCCTTAGTCGCTCCTACAAATGATTTTGTGTGTTTTACTTTTATGTATTGCCTTAGTTGCTCCTACAAATGATGTCGTGTGTTTTACTTTTATGTATTGCCTTAGTCGCTCCTACAAATGGTGTCCTGAGTTTTACTTTTATGTATTGCTTAGTCGCTCCTACAAATGTTGTTGTGTGTTTTACTTTTATGTATTGCCTTAGTTGCTCCTACAAATGGTGTCGAGTGTTTTACTTTTATGTAGTGCCTTAGTCGCTCCTACAAATGTTGTCGTGTGTTTTACTTTTATGTATTGCCTCAATTGCCCCTACAAATGTTTTTGTGTGTTTTACTTATATTTAATTACTGCAATTAGTGTCTTCTTATAAGCGCCAGTGACAAATATCACACGATTGGAGTAATATTAATTCGTTAAAAATATTGGAAGATACAAATAATAGAAACACATTTTGGAATATTTACGTTTTTTTAATAAATGTTAATAAAAAAAATGTGATGTGCAATGCACTTATAAATGAATGTGAGGAAAACAAGTGCTTTATTGAAATGTTTATGTTTTAAGAGATGAGAGGTAAAGAAAAACATATATGCAGGACTCTCCTATATCCTTGTTAAATGAACAGTCAAAATTCTTTTTGTAAAGTCTTTATTTCTTGTTTCAATCAATTATTTTCCCGACATTTCACTTTTATTGTTGCTTTTTATTAATTCAGTTACCAACAGTACAATGGGATACCAGAGAGATTGGCTTTCTACATGCTGTATTCTATATTGGATATATAATAACACATATCCCTGGTGGCTATCTGACAACTATATGGGCTAGTCATAGGTAAGATATATAATAACACACATCCCCGGTGGTTATCTGACAACTATATGGGCTGGTTATAGGTAAGATATATAATAACACACTTCCCCGGTGGCTATCTGACAACTATATGGGCTGGTTATAGGTAAAATATATAATAACACACTTCCCCGGTTGCTTTCTGACAACTATATGGGCTAGTCATAAGTAAGATATATAATAACACACTTCCCCGGTAGCTATCTAACAACTATATGGGCTAGTTATAGGTAAGATATATAATAATTAACACACTTCCCCGGTGGCTATCTGACAACTATATGGGCTAGTTATAGGTAAGAGATATAATAACACACATCCCCGGTGGCTATCTGACAACTATATGGACTAGTCATTTGTAAAATATATAATAAAACACATCCCCGGTGGCTATCTGACAACTATATGGGCTAGTCATAGGTAAGATATATAATAACACATCCCCGGTGGCTATATATCTGACAACTATATGGGCTGGTTATAGGTAAGATATATAATAACACACATCCCCGGTGGCTATCTGACAACTATATGGACTAGTCATATGTAAAATATATAATAAAACACATCCCCGGTGGCTATCTGACAACTATATGGGCTAGTCATAGGTAAGATATATAATAACACATCCCCGGTGGCTATCTGACAACTATGTGGGCTAGTCATAGGTAAGAGATTTACACGTCCTCAATCTTATTTCGTTATCATCCTATATATACGCGCACGCGAGTTAATATGGATCAGAATTTTAATCAAAATGACACGTTTTTTGTTATCTGTTGAATATGTAGTACCGATACCCGGTAATAGGGTGTGTTGAAATTCTTAGTATCATCTATTGACGAACACTTTAAGAACCCCAAAATCCGAAATTTTACATATTTACCACTCAATAAGTCGAACATTTACCTTTTCAAGAGTTTTTTTAATTTTTTTTGGTTAAGTTTTGAAAATTTATAACTCTAGTGAATTGGATTTAGTCATTATTATAGGCTTTGACTGTTTTGAAAATGAATAATTCTCAAAAAAAAATTCAAATGCTGAGTATGTAGTATGTATCTAAAACTGTATAAATAAGGACATTTTTAACCAAAATCAAAATTCTGTTCGCGGTTATGCTGTATATCGTCTTTCGGATACAAATTAATTCATTTTGGTTTGAGACGTCCTTCTAAAATTGTTTAAAAATGTTTAAGTAAATAGTCTACTCTTTAATATTCAAATTTCAGTAGGATTTGCAACTTTTAAATTTTGACACTGTTAGTGATACAAATATACAGGAGAAATAGGCCCCAACTCTTTAAAATTGTTGCTGCATTTATGTTATACTCACTGAAAACGGAATGAATTGTTGATTAACATTCATACGAAAAGTTTTAAAATCCACATAAAGTTCGGAACGGCATTGGAAATACTGGCATTAAACAAAAAGAAATACCAAAAGAGCTTCACTGTCCGTATTTTGATGTTCCGATGTTGCGTTATCGACACCAAGCAAATAATTTTGCTCAAAAAATGTAAAGAGCAGCTGTCTTGAACTTGCAGTGATGTGTTAGCTTTTGTCCCTTTTTCACTTCACTGTGACTTTGAGTTGAAGCACAGCAACACAGGGGCTGTTATTTTCTTTACTCAAATGTTTTTTGTCTAGTGCGTTTAGGGATTTTTTGGCGAGTCAATACACAAAATCCTTTCTTTGCCATTAAGATGTTGTTTTATTAGCATTAGCTTGATCATACTGTTTCAATCTAAAGCAGAAGGTTCATATGACTATTAAATTTAAAGACTATTGAAACAATTACCTTTCAGAATATTTGGTGGCTGTATTCTGTTTTCGGCCGTTATGAATTTATTACTACCAGTTTTTGTTGAGGAGGTTGGCTACATAGGAACGTGTTGTCTCCGTGGATTCCAAGGCATGGGAGAAGCAAGTATTTCTAGACTTTTTTGTTAATATATGGACGATGTAAAGATTCGAATATATATGGCATGGTACTTATGCACACACGAAAAGGTCCTCTTCATTCAATTGATTTGAAATTCAATAGTAATGTTTAAACCAGAAAATAACGGGATAAGTAATGTCCCGTCATTGGTGTTGTATTTTATTTGGAAATTAAGCATTACTTTAAAGCAACACGTGATTTTGCTTGATAAATTGACAGAATCATGAATTATGAAACTTCCTTTAATTAATCAACAAGTGAGCCACAATGAATCATACTTCAATACACCAATGAAGAGGGGGTGACACGCCTTTTGGATGTGGGATACAAGGGGGTACAAAAAGTAGAGATCTGCAATATAGGGGATAAAAAAAGGATCTGGGGGAAAAAGAAGATAAAAAGTAGGAAGTTGGAAAAAAAGAGCCTCTAAAGATCCTGTGTCGCTCACCTAGGTCTGTGTGCATCTTCAACAATGGACACTCTCCAACATCGTAGATTAGAATAACAATGATTCATGACAAAAATCTTTTTTTCGTTGATCATGTATTGCTGATCATCTTTCTGTTTAAAGTTTCTCTCTATCTTCTTTAGTGTTTGCCCTAAACACAAAAGTGGGTAAAAAAATCGTCATTTAAGGGCAATCACTCATATAAATAGTCTACTAACTATTTCGGCAAAATTTGACTTGTTTATGATCTTGGTTTGCTGATAATTTTTTTCCCATCTTTTATAGTTTTCAAGATAATAGGCAAAAAACGCAAAAAACAAGCAAGAGCTCCAATAACGAGTCACTAACGATTTCGACAATGTTGACTTATTTGTAGATTTTGTCTTGCTGATCATTTTTGCAATATAAAATATCTATCTTTTTTTTTTAAATAGTTTTCAAGATAATAGGCAAACACACTCAAAAGTGATAAAAATCGTCATTCAAGAGCAATAACTCCAATAAGGAGTCGACTGACGATTTCCGTCATGTTGACTTATTTGTAGATATTTTCTTGATCATTTTTGTAAAAGTTAACGGACGGCAAGTGACGAGAAAAGGGCCAAGTGAGCTAAAAAATGCCGGATTTTTTAAATGAGCATCTCGTGAGGCCCCCCCCTCTCGTGTCACCCTCCTCAGTTAAGGTATTATCACTTCAAACATTTAGTGACATTAATTGAATGATGGTTTCTACAATGGTGTTTCCCTTCTAATAGGGTTTACTGTACCCGGCGTGTTATGGTCTTCTTCGACATTGGTCTACTACAAAAGAAAGGGGGAGACTTGTTTCAGCAGTGCTTACAGGTTCGTATGTATGTTAATTTGGCAGTTGATATATTTTGTCACACTCAGTCCATTTTTTCTTCGTTTAAACAATGATTTGTTTTACATTTTTGAATTTTAAACAATGATTGTTGATTAAAGCATACATATGTAATCTGGGAATAGTATACTATATAATATGTCTCAGATGTAATCCAAACAATAAAAACTATCCTTTTTAATATATCCTGTTATATGTAAAGCACCTATAAATATTGTGTTTTGTAGGTAGCTATGCAGGTGCTATTATTGGCTTCCCGATGGCGGGATTCATTACACATTATATTGGTTGGCAGTATGTGTACTATGTATGTGGTGAGTACGAATACCCTTTTAGGTGTGGACACAGGTGAATGTGTGTACTATGTATGTGTTGAGTACGAATACTGTTTTAGGTGTGGACACTGGCAGGTGAATGTGTACTATGTATGTGGTGAGTGTGAAAACTCTTTTAGTGTGGACACAGGTGAATGTGATAAAGCAACGAGCCTAAAAGTATTTTATTGCTCAAAATATTTTGGTTTTTTGAAAATATTGAGAACATATCTGAATGTTAATAATATGTTTTAGGAGGTGTATGTATAGTATGGTATTTCAGCTGGTTGTGTTTAGTGTATGAGAAACCTTCACATCACACTACTATCAGTGATGAAGAGTACAACTACCTGTGTGACGCCCAAGGAAGTGACGTCATCGATTATGTTGTAAGTGCTATATATATATATATATATATATTTATATATATATTTCTTTTATCTTATAACCAAGTTTTTTTTAACATTCAATTATATATATAAGCAAAAAAGCTATTAGATCACTTTTTTTTTAAATTAGACATGTCAAATTCTATGATATCGCTCCTTTACCTTCTTTTACCATTTATGCAACAATTGAACAATTGTACGTTTTAATTACTTGAATTTTGCATAAAATGCATTAAGATAATCGACAACAGCAAGTATTTGTGAATTTGAATACCAATGTAACCTATATTCAATGAATAAATGAAACCAACATTTTGCTCAGTGATTTATGTTATGGCTAGGGAATGATCAACATTTCTTTAAACCGTCGTTTAAATGAAAATGTCAACACAATATTCAATGTCATTTTCTTCTTCTTCAGAATTTGAAAATACCATGGGCTCAGATTTTAACATCACTTCCCGTTATAGCTCTCTGTATATGTCATTTTGCCAGAAACTGGATATTCGTGTTTATGTTAACAAATGAACCATATTATCTTAATAACTTTGGATTTTCTATAGCTGAGGTAAGTTGGTTATGTTTCTCCAATACTATAATATGTGTTGAGTAAAATCTGTTATGTTTCTCCAATACTATAGTATGTATTGAGTAAAATCCATTAAGGTTGAAAATGTAGGTCAGTGCAACACCATTCAACATGTTTAAATGGATTAGTCAACATGTTTAAATGGATTAGTCAACATGTTCATATGAATTAGTCAACATGTTTAAATGGATTAGTCACCATGTTTAAATGGATTAGTTAGCATGTTTAGATGGATTAGTTACCATGTTTAAATGAATTTGTCACCATGTTCAAATGGATTAGTTGACATGTTTAAATTGATTTGTCAACATGTTCAAATGGTTTAGTCAACATGTTCAAATGGATTAGTCAACATGTTTAAATGAATTAGTCAACATGTTTAAATGGATTAGTCAACATGTTTAAATGGATGTGACTGAAATGAATGTCAATTTGAACAAAAATGCACCCATTGTCGTGCTAACCGTAACACACTCGAATTTAAAAGTGTCAACAAACAGGAAGTCTGTATCTGACAGATATATAAAGAGTTCACACCTTACAACTCATCACTGCTAAGCTTCGGATCTGACCAAATATAAAGTAACTTAGTTTTTCAGGTAAAATTAGTAATTGAATGTTTATTTGAAAGGAGGAAAACTGGGAAAACAGAATATAGAAATAAGAAGATGTGGTATGAGTGCCAATGAGACAACTCTCCATCCAAGTCAAAATGTGTAAAAAGTAAACAATGATAGGTCAAAATTCGGCCGATGATGAAATTTTGTCATGCAACAGGCCACCTACTACTAATTAAAATACTTCTTGCAAGAGCTTGACACTCTCCCAGCATAATATTTCACGTCACAATTTTGACCGGGCATTGCTGTGTATTTTACCAATCATTTAATGGCCAAACAAATGCTTTGGTATTATTGAATAAATGAATTTTCCTATTTGTAAATGTTATAGATCCAAATAATGACAATTATGCTATAATGGGCATGCATATATGGAACTATAGCGCATATAGTTTAAAAGAAATCTACTGTCATATAAATATACCCGATTTCAATATTTTATCAACTACAAAGTAACTCGGTGGTTACTCTTGGAACAACAAACATGACAATTAATATTGATAATGGGTAAGTTACTCGATGATTACGCACGTCTGCAATTTGAATGGACAACCGATTTCTTACTGTCGAGATCTTGTGAACATTTTCTAGATTTTATTTTTTTTAGTCAGGTTCCTATTCTTCAATACCTCATATAGTGAAAGTTTTAGTAGCTTTTGGTAGTGGTTACATAGCTGACTTGCTACTTCTGCGATGTTCACCTACTGTTGTCAGAAAGCTGTTGACTGGTATAGGTAAGACTTATCAAACCTTTAAGGCTTATACATGTTATAGTTATATTAAATTTGATTTAAAAGAAGGATTGCTTAACAAGATCTATTTACTAGTTTCTGTTAGATTTAATACTATTTGCGTAATCCATCTGTTTAAATCTTTTTACAATCTTATGCACAGCTTCTAATGTTAAAGACATGTGCAACTTAGGGAAATTCATTTTCCAGGCAATGAAGCTTAGAAATGACTATTATTTTGGTTTTATAACTTACATAACATGAAGTTGATTTGTATTTCATTGGTTTTATAACTTTGCTATTTTGAATCATATTGGTATATTGAATAGCAATTGTATTTACTTCTTCTGCCTGTTATGTCATGGTCTTTTATTTATGTAATACTATTTACTAAGTATACCTATATGTTGTAAAACATTTGGTTAATGAAGAATTGAAGAGCAGGCTGCAACCAAGGATTAGATACTTACGTATATCATTGCTTCAACTGGGAAACAGATGTTTGTGCTGACTGAATTACTATATAAATCAGAACTTTCACAAACGTAGGATACAAAGACAAGGGTGTGTTTGTTGCTTAATGAGTGTCCCCATCCAGTCCCCCAAAACAGGCCGTTGGGCGTCAAATTAATCTCGGACGACTGCTGAATGAAAATGTTACCAGCAATTAAAACAGATAATAATAAATTGAATAAAATACAAACAGGTTGTATGTAGAAATAGAAGTTTTATATACAAAAAAAAATAAAAATATTTGTCCGCCTAAATTCATTCAATTGAACTATCTAAGATGAATACAGTAGTTGTCTACTATATCTGCATTTAATGGCATCAGTCTTGAATATGAATTAATCTCCATCATGAGAAACATGAACAATGGCAGTGAAAATAGTTCTTTTGCCAATGTATATTTGTTCCGCCCAACTGAAGCTCTCCTGGAAACTTTGTTATAAACTATTCAGACAAATATTCTATGTCCTTTATTACGCTAGGAACAAACACTGGAATATTTTTTCCATTGGAAATAATATTCCAGAATATATTTTCCATTTAGAACTAATATTATGACGGAACTTCTATTTCATGACAGTTTGACATGTTTATATGTTAATTGTATTTAATTATATTTTACAGGGTTTAGTATCGTAGCCTTGAGTTTTTTTATCCTGACATTTTGTGAGACCGGCGTTAGTGCTATTTTGGTTCTTTGTATAGCTGCTGGATTTTTCGCTGTTTCCATTTCAGGTAAAAGGTTTTAAGCAGCAATGATAATTTATGAGTTGTGATAATATAATATACTGTTTAAACATACATACCATAATAACCATTGCAATAAACGATCAAGGTATATTCTGCATAAACCATTTTATGAAGAAAAAACTTATAGAAATAAAATACAATTTAATATATTTTAAACTAAGTGATTTGTATTTATTTGTTATCTAGGATGGCAAATCAATCACTATGACCTCTCAGCCAGATATGTAGGTATTCTGGTAAGCGTTACCTCAGCTTTTGGTACACTTGGTGCAATAGCCGTTCCCTTGGTAACAGGAGAGTTAACGAAAGATAGGGTAAGTATTTCATTCATGATACGAGATGTCCTAGTATCGGTCGGTCTTTAAACAACAGCACTCCAGTCTATAACTTTTAGGGATACATTTTTGAGTTGTAAATGCTCATTGTATTGTTGTTGTGTTAAGTTTTCAGTTTCATAACCATAATAAATACATACCTGCAGTTAAATAATTGTTTGATATCAGCAACATATATTCTTGGCAAATATCTAGCGTATAATTGTTTGTAATATTCTCAGATGTACCGAGGTATCTGTATTTTGCTTTATATTGTACTTTAAGGAGGTTTTAATTGTTGTTTTAATCCAATGTCTCTTTGTATTCCTACTGAAAAAGTTAAGATATTTTTTGTAGACTCTTGATGGATGGGATGACATATTCTACGTTACCATGGCAATATTTTTATTCAGTGCACTGGTGTTTGTCATTTTTGGATCTGGTAAGGTTTTCCATAGTATTTATTACTTAGGAGCAATGTAAAGAACGCATTTTCAATATTTTATGAGCATGATCATAATTTTCCTTTGTTTATTTACATATAAATCATACAAAACACTGGGATTCTTATGTAAATATAGCTACATTGTATATGTTTGGTGATTTGGTTAATGGAATATTACAAAAGACTCTATACCGAAATAATAAAAGTTATGATAGCATAGACTTTAAAATCCTGATTTGCAACTACTGTGCAAACATTTCCGAATCAATATATTTTAAGAAGTATCATAACGTAAATTATCTAAATAGAATCTTTTGATGGGTATTCTTTACAATTTAAGGTAATGAGCAGCCATGGGCTAGACCACCGCCTAATATTGAGTTGGTACAGAAAATTGACCCTCTTGCCAGAAAGCCATATAGAACATTTATTCAACAAAAATCAGCTAATACCAAAGAAACCCTGCAAGCAGAATCAATAGACGGAAAAGCGCAACAAAAAGATGATAGAATTCATGAACTAGTAGATAGACTGACAGAACAACTTTCAGCTGAAGAAATCAAAAAAGATAGTTGATGCAATCAAATATAGTCAAACCTGCCATAAAGGTGACCTCAGCTCTATTTAGTAATAAAACTGGCTTGTCAGGTCAACTCTGTTTAACTAAAACAAGTCCGATCACTCTCTCCTTTTACTGCTGTAGTAATACCTATGCATTTTGATCACCAGTTCAAAGGTTATAAGTCCAGTTTTTCCTGCTTTCGTGTGGGACTTTTATATCAAGTTTGAGTGTACATGTATTTTACTGGATCATTTTAAATTGAACATTTAGAAAAATTCAGTATTTATTGCGAGGTCTTAAGGGACTCGAATAATGCGACTTGGTGATTATCACAATAATAAGAACTCGCATTCTGATATCTGATATGGATATCTGTATGAAGATTTTCCTGAAATCGCAATAACTAATTTCGTATTTTGTCAATTCTTCAAAAATTGCAATAATAAATGCACGCAATAATTTTTGAATTTACAGTACTCAAAATGAACAACTCAATACTGGTAATATGAGTTATTGTTCAATTAATTGTGCAATGTATCCATATTCATTTATTTATTCATTGATAAGTTTTTTGGAATTTGTCAAAAAAAAGTTACATAAGAGTTTGGTAAGGCGTTACCTGTTACTTCTAGTCATGATTATGTTCCTTACTTAAAACAAAGGATGTGTGCAGTATACCAGGTGATAAAATAAAACTGTGGATATTCATATTGATAAGAAAAAAATATGATTTAGGAGAAGAAACTGTTTTCATTGAAAGAGAAGAAATTAACCAAGACAGATTTTCCTGGTCCTTGTATATTTATGTATCTAAAATTGATTAACATTTTTGTCTTTCTTAATAGTTGTAATCAAAGTTTTGGACAAATAACCTGTCCACTATAAAGAAATCTCTGTGAGTCAAGTGACTGTGATAGAACGTCGAAAGTTATAATGTTATTATTAAAAAAAAAAGTTTTAAAACTTGTGTTTTATTTCTGATTTACCTTCATCCGTGTTAAGCACAAATAGCTCTGTTTCTTAAGTTAAGCTCACCTTGCCTATTTAGGTAAGGTGAGATATTGGTGAGCAAATGAGGAGATATGGTATGATTGCCAATGAGATAACTTTCCACCCAAGTTTAGGTAATGTGGATGTTACCAATTTCGTGTCCATTTTCTGTACACACAATGTACATTGTTTTTCGAAGTGGAACTTCAAATATAGCTCCTCTTACTTTAAAAAGAACAATTATTTGAAAGTATGCAACTCAAATGAATGGAACTTTGTTTTTGAAACGGGCCTCTAATATTGCCTTTTCAGAATATCAATACTCAGCACATTTTTCATGGTGTCCGCCATAACTAAAATAGAAAAATCCTTAACAAAATAGGTAGAAAATTCTATTAAAATCATTTTCAATCGAGGTAGAAGGCAAAAATTGTTAGCGGGCTAACCCGATCGCAAAGGTAAGAAGGCAAAAATTGTTATCTGGCTCTCGCAACATAATCAACATGTTATAAAATCAAAAGAAACAAGTAAAAAAGATCAGGTTAAAGAAATATCAGACAAAAACTTTTAAACTTCTAGGGCAAAAGTTCAAGAAAAAAGAACAACTCAAGATAAAAGAAGCTATACTAAATGACAAATTTTAACTCAAATGACAAGACAAGAATTCTAGATAGACTATTCAAAGCCGAAAGTAGAAACCTAGAACTAGAACAATCTCTCAAAACCCTAAATCAATGTTTAGATAGTTCAGTAAAGAACCAAAACCACAATGATGTCAAGACAACAGACAACCATAAACAGAAGCAGCCAGCTGAAGATCTCATCAAGGGTATACATGAAAGAGTAACTGAGTATGTCCTGAAAAAAGTTGACCGGGAACTTGGCCTACTTCAATTATTGGATACAGACAGTCATCAGCAAGAGAAATCTACATATGGCAATAGAGCTCCAACTAGCTCAGTCCAACACAATGTTGATTATACAAATCCACATTCTCAGAGTTACCCGTATAACACTTACTATTCCAGAGATGTTACAATGCTCCATTTACCAATTTTAATGAAACATCACATTATCAGTGGGATAATGGTGGGACTTACCACAACGTCCCTACTGATAGTCGTGATCCTTATTATCCACACTATCACAATTGGTATAATTATCAAAACAATAGCCATATGAGTTACTACCCGGAAACAAGAACTTCAGATTTTAATATAGATGGTAACTGGTGGGGCAATGGTGGGACCTACCACAAAGTCCCCCCAGAAACCTTTCATCATTCTTATAACCAGCATTCTACAGAAAACCAAGTTTGCTTCTCAAATTTAATTTCACTTACTCCGACTCAACAATCTACCAATTCTGTAAGTAATACTGAGGTAAAAGGTAAAAAACAAGCATCTACACAAAGATTTCATAATCCGTCAACATACTCTACAGGTACTACAAATCAGACTCCAAAAGAGAAAGTTCTAAATTCTCTGGACATGACTCGCCTATGTATACCCATAATGATAAAGCTTCACCAATGTTTTACGTTTCAACAGAGACATATATACACATATATATATGTGTGTATATATGTCTCTGGTTTCAAGAATGGGACAACCTCTATATGGGCCTATATTATTCACCAGACAAACCTGAGCAGGATTTTTTATACAAGGAACTGTTCCAATTCGAAAGGCACAACATTATGTCCTAAACCCTAACCTGGTTAATACTGAACATATGAATTCACGTAGTGATGTAATAACTGAACATGATGTTTTAGATTTTAAAAATGACTGTATAAATGTACATTGTGTAAATAAAGTTAAAAAAAAGTACGTAGCACCTCTACTCTGAGGATTTTAGATCTTAATTGCAAAAATATATTGACCTGTGGTCCACTTTTTAAAGAGTTAGAGAGAAAAATTGATATATTTCTTCTCCAAGAGCATTCATTTGGTTATATGACTGCCAACTCAATATGTATCCTACAAGAACTACATAATGATTTCACCGAAACGGGTAAAGCAATTGATTCTAATGATCCTATTCAACCTTATCACATGCCTCGTGGTTATGGAGGTGCTTCCATTTTATGGAAAAAGAATCTTGATAAACTTGTTACAACTTTACCGATTGGAAATGAGAGAATACGATGTATTGAGTTGTCTGGAAGTCAGAAACTATTATTTATTTCTATTTATCTCCCTTGTAAATCCTTAGATAATCATCTAAATGAGCTTCACGAATGTACTGACCAACTACATGAGATCATGGAAGTTTATAAAGCCACTCACCAAATAATTATTGGTGGAGATTTCAATGAAAATATTTTTAATGAAAATAACTAATAGAAAAAGATATATACTTGACTTTATGTCTGATCATAACTTGTTTACAACAGAAGTTGGAACTACCTATACACATACCAGTGGCATATCATCTTCTGCAATTGATTATACACTTATCCAAGAGAAATTTAGAGACTGCATACTAAATATTGAAAAACCTGACATTATTTCAAACGTTTCGGATCATCTTCCAATTTTACTACAACTAAAATATGAACTTCCTCGCAGAAATTCTGAAATTCAAATACAGTCGACTATCAGTCATAAGGTCAAATGGAACAAAATAGATAAAGATAAATATAAAAATCTAATTGAAGAGGGTATCGTCTTATTAAAAGTCAAACCAATGAACCCTACTGAACTGGACGAAGCATTTCAGACTCTCAACCATACTATTACTAAAGCTACAGTGGCAGTTGCTCCCAAAAAGAAAATAAAGAAAAAAAAAGAAGAAATTACAAATTATGACTGAAAATATTTCTCAAGCAATATCAGAGAAAAAAATAGCATTTTTTAAAAAGAAACAAAATGGTCGTCCACCTGACCCCAACAACCCCTATACTATTCAAAAGAAAATTACCACCTCCTCACTTCGGAAACAATGCAGAGTAGAAGCTGCATTTCACAGAATACAAGAACGTCAGAAAATCATAGACGCAGGGTATAATGATCCGGCACTTTTCTATAGCCTTATAAAAATACAAAGAGGAAAACTTTCACGATTTATTGAGGAACTAACTGTAGATGAAGAAATTTTCCAATCTCCTGTGAATGTAATGAAGGGCTGGAATAAACATTTTTGAGATATTGCAAAAAAATCCAACAATAACTCTTTTGACACTAAATATCTAAATTCAATTGAAAAAGAAGCTACCCATATTATTAAAATGTGTAAAGATAAATATATACATCAGGAAATCACAACTGAAGAGATAAAAAAGGCTGTCTCAAAACTCAACACAAACAAAGTTTAGGACTTCTATGGTTTAACTGCTGAAAATTTTATTCATGGAAGTGAGTCACTATTACAACATTTACAACAACTTTTGAATGTTTGCTTTAAATTCTGTTACATACCTGATTTACTGAAAATTGGAACTTTATTTCCGGTGTTCAAAAATAAAGGGGATATCAAAAATGCCAAAAATTATAGAGGAATTACTATAACTCCAACATACCCAAAAATTATAGAAAAGAAATTTAAAGAAAGAGAAAACCCGAAAATTATAATTTCCCAAAACCCGCTTCAAAAAGGATTCACTGAGGGCACTTCACCATTTATTTGTGAACTTTTCATAGAAGGATTTGAAAGGGAAAGCAAAGACCTTAAACTTCCAGTCTACATAGCCTTATTAGATGGCAAGTCAGCTTTCGATGTTGTGGTACATGCTAATTTGATCCGTCGTATGTTCCAGATAGAATTTACGGAACAATCCATATTACTACTGAATAATCTATATGAAAACGCATCTTCTCTTATTAAATGGAATAATCTAATTTTGAAACAGATGTTCACCATTGACGAAGGGGTCCGTCAAGGAGGTGCATTCAGCGCTGACTTATATAAAATCTACATTAATCCATTGCTTAACATTTTAAGTACATCAGGTTTTGGTGGAAGAGTAGGGAACATCAATTGCTGTGCTCCTACATGTGCTGACGATGTAGCACTTGTCTCCAATAACCCTCTAGAACTACAAACCATGATTGACATTACTTAAGATTTTAGAAAAAGGGAAGGATATTTATTGCAGCATACAAAAAGTGTTGCTATACCAGTAAAAACCTGCCGTAAATTTTTTGAAATCGAGGATGGATTTTGGAAATTGAATGGAAAAAAACATGCCAATCGTCCCAAACGCCTCTCATATAGGACTTCAAAAATCTGATAAAGACTCTGCTGACACAACAGTAAATGAAAATATAAAGAAAGCACGAAGAGCTATGTACAGTCTAATGGGTACAGGCCTCCATGGAGAGAATGGATTAGATAGTAAAACCTCAATATCTTTAATAAGAACTTATATTCTGCCAATATTAACTTATGGTTTGGAAATTTTATTACCAAAAGGAAAAATACTAAATAATATCTCTATTCAGTATAAAAAATGGATCAAACAAATTTTGTCTTTAAATTCCAATGTAGCTGATTCTGCAGTTTATACCTTATCTGGTTTACTCCCTATTGAAGCTGAAATCCATGTCAAAGCTATCAATCTATTTGGAAACATATCTAGAGCGAAATGTGATTCAATTGAATGGCGGCTAGCCGAAAGACAGCTACAGATAAAACCCCACAATAGTCACAGCTGGTTTATTGAAATTAAGGAATTATGCTTAAAATATGAAATTACTGACTTGTATGATTATTTAAACAACCCGTTATCAAAAATTCAATGGAAAAAGCTAGTTAAATCCAAAATTCATGACTATTGGACTTCAAAAATTATTGATGAATCAAAAGGATAACACTTAAATTCATGAACCATAAATATAACATTGGATCCGTACATCCTCTACTGGGCAATTTCGGTCAGTGCAGATCTAAAGGACATCAGAAAAATTCCTGTACGTCTTAAAATTTTAACTGGGAATTTATCCTACAAACCCACAAAGCCTCATTTTCAA